CTTTTTTCTGGCCATTCTGATTGAGTGTCCTTGGCTTTACCATCCTCTATACAGGCCATTTATTCACTTTGTTTATTCCATTTAATATAATTTTCATCTCAGATAAAGTGTTCTTCATTTCTGACTGGTTCCCTTTTATAATTTCCATCTCCATTTTTTTTATCTCTCTGTTAAAGTTCTCACTGAATTCATCTACACTTCCCATAAGTTCACTGAGCATCTTTATAACCAGTGTTTTGAACTCTGCATCCGTTAGATTGCTTGACTCCATTATTTCTGCATCTCTGTTCTGTTCTCTTGCAGTTTCTGCTTCTTTGTCTTCCCTTTTTGGATGCCTTTGTGTGTCTATTTCTATGTACTAAGCAAAGTTCTTAAGTCTTCCAGTCTTATTAGTATGGCTTTGTGTGGTAGATGTCCAGTGGCACAGTTCTGAGAGGGGTTTAGCTGCAGGCCAAATTTAGTCCCAGCGTGTGCCCCTCCAGGGCCACCTGTTAAGATTCAACATGCAACTCCCAAATTCTGTGCTTATAGTTGCCTCATATGGCCACACCAGAAACCAATGCCAGCTGCCACCAGTGTGGGTCTAGGTGCTGCTCAGCAAAGGACACCTGACTAATGGAGGAAACCTGGATATGGCTTGGGTGGGGCTGTGAGTTGGAGGAGACAGTTTCAGGGAATCCTTTGGCAGAACAATCTCTGTTATCCAGTTTGATGAAGTCTCATCTATAGTAGCTCTGAGTCTGTGCGCTGTGAGCGGGAAAGGCTCAACAGAGGAACAATGGATACTGCTAGCACTTATTTATAGAGCGAGTCTCACCTCAGCCCTCACTGTGACAACTCGGTATCCCCCTGTAAGTCCCTGGTGCCCCTTGAGCAGCTGACCTGGTGCTGGTGCTCAGAGCAAGGAGGTCCATCATGGCAAAAGTCTGGTTATGGACATGGCCCCTTTAAGAGGACCAGATACTGCTGCTGTAGCCTCTGTCCCACTCAGCCACTCAAGACAAGGCATCCTTGTGTCTTCGCCCCCTTTGCCCTCTCCTACCTCCAACAATTGCAGGGTGATTTCTTATTTTTGTCCCTAGCTGTAGGGCTTCTGTTCCTCTAGATCCCCAGGTGACTCTGCTTGCTATTTCCTCCATGTTTCCGTCACAACTTTGCTGTAATCGCAAGAAGGGATGTACAAAGCTTCTATCATCTACGCCATTTTACCCAGTCCTGGAAGATTTCTTTCTTACTTAGAGAATAGGATTACTCTCCAAGTCTTGGCCTGAAATTTATATAAATCTAGGTGCTTAGAATAACAATAACCTTCACCACGAATCTATGTTTATAATTCTTCATGAATTTTCTAGGAGAGGAAATGGAAACTACTTTTTCTTGAGCCTCTACCATGTATCCAGCATGGCACTAAGCCCTTTCATTGTTTTTCTCTTATTTTACCCTCACAATATGCCATTGATTTTTCAAGAACAAAAAATATGTTTTTTTTTTTTTTTTGTCGTACAATATGTGCTTTGTGGATGAACACGCTTTCAGAAGAAGTCAGAGGTCAACATTTTAAATGTTATGGATTCAAACATGAAAACTTGATATACAGATGACATTTTCTTTTGTGTGTCAGGAACGGATCCCAGAGAGTCCTTCTCCTGCTCCCTCTCTGGAAGAGGGTCATCGCCCTGGGAGCCAGACCTCTTCCCACCCCAGCAGCAGCGTGTCTAGCTCTCCCTCTCAGATGGATCACCATTCAGAGAGAATTGGTGAGTATCTCACCTGAAAGAAGGACTTTCAAGATAATATCTTTCAAGAAATTCTTCATTAGCTAATAGAGAGGGGAGAAAGAAGCTAGGGGAGCTGATGCCTCCTTAATATATATGGCTTTTTGAAATGGTCATTTCTTATTGCTGAAGTAATATGTTCATATTTACAACAAAATTAAATAAAATGTTAGAAGATTTTTGTTTGTTTGTTTGTTTGTTTGTTTGTTTGTTTTTTGTTTTCCCCCTGGAAGAACCTTCATTTACTATATCACTGGATCTCATTGGAATAATATGATGGGATTTTTCTGGAATATATGTTAGTTCAACATATTGGTATTTAACAGTGTGATGCAATACACTTGTTAGATACCAGCATTCTTCAAATAACGGAAGATAAAATTTTCTTTAAGCAGTTGATCATTGAGTGATTAAAAAGTGGATCAGTGATGTGGCATATTGAAGATTTGAATTTAGCCATAATTCTGGCACTAACTAGCTATGAGATTTTGGGTATGTCACTTAACCACCATGAGTTTCTTCACCTAATATATGAAAATAATTACTGCCCTGACTAATGCACTGGGTTTTTGTGACATTCAATGAAATAATATGTAGAAAAAAATGAGAAGTTTAAAGTGCTAAGGAAATGTGAGAGTAAACATTATTTTTCTCTGTGTCCTTTACTTTGACTGCTTATGATCTCCTGCTTTCTGAGACTATTCAGGTATTCTGATGTTACAAAGTATATTCAGTTATACACTTTTGCATACTTATTTAGTATGCAATAATTATGAACCATGTGAGCTAGGTAAAATCTTTGATAATCTGTATTTACACAATCCAATTTCCTAAGTATCAATTTCCTTTAGGGAAAATGATTTCTGCTCTTCTTTTACTCTCACTATAGGGACTTTCCTTATGTGAACTCTAAATTTTTACACTTCACTATAGTGGTGTTTTCAAGCTTCTCCAAAATAACATGGATTTTTTAGGGGATGAGGGATGGAATTCGAGGGATTAAGGAAAGTGTTAGGTTCTGGATTTTTGCCGGAGAGGGATTAAGATGATTTCTCCTTTGTGGAAATTCATCCAAGCCTCACTTAGCCTGACAATATTACATACTGTTGTGGCTCTTTCACTTCATAGTGAGCTCAGTGGGTCTCAAATCTGGCCCCCTATTAAAATCACTTGTGGAGCACTTACAAATCTGGATGCCCAGGTCACATGCTCAGAGTCTGATTTACCTGGTCTGGAATAGAGCCTGGCATCAGTGTTTTGTTTTGCTTTTCAGTGTCTCCTCAGGAGATTCTAATATGCAGGCAGAATTAAGAAATACTGAACTAGAATTTGAGGATAATGGCCCTAAGGGAATAAGTTTCATTACTGGAAGAGGTAACAGTGTAATGGCCCTATGGGAGTAAGTTTAATTCCTGGAAGAGGTGACAGTGGTCTTTTAAGCTTTACTCTGTTCTTTGGACACAGACTATCTGGTTGTTACAACATTGTATTCAACTGATTAGAGGGAGTCTGACCAGGACAAGTGTATATAGCTGGGTGACCATTGGTGAATCAAGAAACCAAAACAAACATTCTTCTGTTGGATACTCTTTGTATTGATGAGGGCTGGGGGAGAGAGAGGAGAGAGAGAATTATTTATTGAGTTCTGGCTAAAAGCAGAGCACATAAGGAAATATATTCTGTGATAGATATATTGTAAGAGAATGGTATCTTACACTTAGAAGTAAAATCAAATATTTCTGAAGCAATATGATGTTCTAAAAAAAATCTTGGCAACATAAAACATTTCAAATTCCACTGTCGGTAATTAAGCTCATGATCATATTCTATAATTGTTCAAACATAAGAGTGAGATTACCTATAAATGAATAAAAAGATTTGATAATTTTTCAAGTTACCATATTTTATTTATAGAACTATAAATAAATCTAATAAATAC